ATTAAGTATGTATACATCAAAATTTTGCGACTTATAGAAGCTAGAACCCTTGATTTTTGTAAAATTTTATTGAGTTTTATCAAATGATAATTAAGTAGCATAGTTAAAAATTCATGATTTTTATGGGGCTATGATTCATGTTTTTGGCATTTTTCTTTATTTCAATTTAATGGAAATTAAATATGCGTGACTCAAAATTTATAAGGAGAAATTTTTAAAACAGCCCTTTTTTCAATTTTATTGGGCAAAATCGACCGTCTCACAAATTAATTAGCAAACCCGACCGAAAAGGGTCGTTTTCGCAATTACGGAACTGCACGGGACTAGCAGTCCCGTGCAGTCCGCCTAACCCACCGGCTCCCTTTCTTTTCGTCATTCTTTCGTTCTGTTTCGTTCATTCCTCTTTCGTGACCACTCTCCCCCGAAGAAAAAAAAAACCCTCGACTCGTCGACCCCCGCCGCCGACCACCGCCGCCGACCACCGCCATTTGCACGTGACCATCCGCCGCTCTCGTGACCGATCACCGCCGCCGACCACCGCCATTTGCACGGGCTAGGGTTTTTTTCGTTCATTCCTCTCGTGACCAGTCCGCCGCTCTCGTGACAGCCCTCCGACCTCGTCGCGCCGCCGACACCATCGACCCCCACCATTTTGCTAGAATTGGGGGAATAATGTTTTGGCTGTTAATTTTGCTGTTAATTTTGCTAGAATTGGGTAGGATTAGTTTTTATTTTGTGCAATAGGATGAATAATGTGATTTGGGAGTTAGGGTTTAGTAATTATTTACATATGATGAATAATAATTAGGGGTTTAGCCATTATTTGGAATTTATTCAGATATTAATAGATTATTTGCATATGATGGACTGTGTATTTTCAGTTTCGATGATGAACTCCATATCCATTATTTGTTTCTTTAATGGGAGCATCGGCGTCGGAGTGAATAATTTGCCGGTGTATGATGGAGGTTCTCGGAAAATGTTCATGCTATCTAAGTCGTGTAATTTTGATGGAATGACTAGGGAAATACACAGAGTTACTAAAATTAAGAAAGAAGAATATACAATTAAGGTGTTCTTCAACTGTCCTATAAATGAGAGTAGAACTATTGCCGTGGAGATTACCGAAGATGAGGAATTGAATGACATGAAACAATTAGTCGAGAAGCAAGCGTCAATTGAGTTGTTTATTGAGAAGTATCCGATTCAGGAATTTGCCCAAGTTTCACGACCTCAAGGAGAGTTTTCTCGGATGCTTGACTTAGACAACGAGTCGATTGGTTTTATGACATCTCCAAGTCAATAGCCATGGTCTCAACCACAACATTTAAGTGGGTATTCTATCGGTAGGACGTCAACTAATATATTTAACGACGCTTCAGGTCATGTTACGGGTTACCCACCAGTCGGAGCAATTATAGAAGATGAAGCAGATGATGATTCAGATCATTTTGAAGAAGATGGCGTGCAAATTGATAGCATGCATGTGGCAGCTGGAATCGATGATGACACCCGTTGGATGGAGCAATTTACAGTTAACAATGATTATGTGGAAGCTGAAGATCCGTTGCCCGACGAGTTTCATAATGAGGATTGGATAAATACTTCTCAAGCTGGATTTGTTGATGTTGGGCCAAATTTACAACGACCTGAGGACTTCACTTTTAAAAAAGGGGATCTATTCGAGAACAAGGAGGCACTGATTTTTGCAATCCGAGAATGGTCCATCAAGAATCGGGTCAAATTAAAGCCGGTAAAAACTAATGCAACAAACTACAATGTGAAATGCTTCTTTAACGATAAGAATGAAGTAGAGAATGCAAATGAGCAAGATGAGAGAAATAAAAAATGTCCTTGGTTGCTAAATGCCGCTGTGAGAAAATCATCAAATGGGCAATTTGTAATATGTAGATATTGCGGACTTCATACATGTTGCAACCCGTCGGTGGATGTCGATGATTATTCTGCATCTTCTTCTTATATATGTAAGCTAATTATGCCTGAAGTTAGAGCTGAACTTGATCTGAATGCAAGTCAGATATTTCAGAGGGTATATGACATGCGGGGGATTAAGATATCTAAATATAAGGCATATGATGCAAGGAGGAAAGCGTTGTCTAAAATTTTTGGAGATTGGGAAAAATCATATGAATTACTTCCACAGTATCTTGAAGCTATCAAACGAAATAATCCGGGTACTGAATACGAAATATTATCCGAAGAGATTGCACCGGGTATGGAGAGGTTCACTCGCGTGTTTTGGGCATTTGGTCCTGCTATTAAGGGCTTCACTTTTTGTCGTCCGCTATTGAGCATTGATGGTACACATTTATATGGAAAGTACAAAGGCGTGCTTCTTGTAGCGACCGGTGTAGATGCAAATGGCGGGTTATTTCCTCTAGCATTTGCAGTCGTGGAGGTGGAGGATACGTCTAGTTGGAAGTGGTTTTTTGAACTTATATACAAGTGGATTCCAAGTGTCCGTGCGCTAAGAATAATAACCTTTATTTCGGATAGGATGAAAGGAATTATAAGGGCGTTACATGAGGGTTTTAGTGCACCACATCACCATCGATATTGTTTAAGGCATATAAGAGATAATTTCAAGAAAAAACACGGTGAGATTAATTTGCAAAATCTTTTGTAGCAAGCCGGGTGTGCGACCGACACATTAGTGTATGAACATTGCAGGGAGAAAATCAAGTCTTTGTCATTAGATGCACATAATTGGATTGAAAATAACTTGAAGCCCCAATTCGAGCATCGGTGGGCATTATGTAAGGATGAGGGGGTGCGGTTTTGCATGATGACGACTAATTGCTCCGAGAGCTTTAACGGCGTTCTTAAAGGAGCACGAGCTATGCCAATACAATCTTTGGTTGCGAGAACATTCTATAGACTAAACGCATACTTCAACAAAAGGCGTGGTGATGGCATAGACTGGCCAACACATTACACACCAAAAAATGAGTCCATTTTGCATAGAAGAATTGAGGCAGCAAGATCATGTCAAATTACCGTATTCAACGACAACGAATGGCAGGTACAGGATTGTGACGGTATCTACACCGTTAAACTATTTGATGTTGATTGCACTTGCACATGTAACATACCACAACTCCAAAAAATACCCTGTGCACATGTGCTTGCGGCTTCTTCTAATCAGCCGGGAGGTGCTAGAATTCCCAGAAATCGATATTGCTCGCCTTGGTATTCAACAGCTCACTATCAAAAGACATATAGTAAGAGTTTTCATCCACCTGATAATAGTCGGTATTGGCCTGAATATAATGGACCACGTATAATTCCACCTCAGTACCGGAGACAAGCAGGTCGACCACGATCTGTGCGAATTAGGGGAATCATGGATCAAGGGCGAGAAGGAGTGGTCAAGCACAAAAAATGTAGTCTTTGCAAACAACCGGGACATACTCGACCTCGTTGTCCATCTAGACACAATAGATAGCAACTAATTGGTAATTTATATTATTTTTTTATTTTTATATACTTTAATAAAGAAACTGAATTACTATATGATTGATTATTGACATGTGTATAATTGTATGTGCAGGTTTGTACACCATGGATCCTAGGCCGGTTAGTGATGAGGTCTTATATGACCAGGCTCAGCATCGTTCACATATTATATCCTATACAGAGGTAATTCAGTTACTTTATAATTGCAATATTTGCATTTACATAATATTGCATTCTTATACTATCATTTGCTATACAGAGAGGTCCGAGTATCGTTATGGTTGATCAGTGTTGTAAAAAGCGGCAAAAAGCGGGGCTATCGCGGCGCAAATCGCGGAAGCGGGGTATCAGCGCTACGCGGAAGGCATAAGCGGCTTGGTTAAGCGGTAAAAACCGCTTTGTGCTCGAATTGCGCGATTTAGCGGGCTTCTTGACTTGTTCAAAGCTTCGTTGGATAAAGCTCGATTGGCCCCTACTGATCGCGTTGATGGATAGATGGAGACCTGAGACCAATACTTTCCACTTCCGGATGGACGAGGCTATCATTACTCTACAAGATGTAGCCGTGATACTCGGTCTCCGTATAGATGGTCCGTGCATTACCGACACTGATAGTGATGTATGACCTCGAAGATGTGAGGAGTTGTTAGGTGTAGCTCCAGAGACTATGCCTCGAGGAACTATTAAGTTGAAGTGGTTGAGAGAGACCTTCTCAGTACCGTTGCCTGTTGATGCCCCACAAATTTTGGTTGACCAACATGCACGTGCATACATTATGCACATGATTGGTACTATATTATTTCCAGATTCAAGTAAAGATAAAGTGCATGCGAGGTATGTGTATTTATAATATGAATCTGTTTTTCATTGAATTAGCTTATTTTAATAAATTGGAATATTATGAATATGCTAGGTGGTTACCACTCCTCGAGGACTTGGACGTATGTGGTACAAAATCGTGGGGTAGTGCCGTTTTGGCGTATTTATATAGAGAGATGTCAAAAGTGGCACTTATGCAAAACAGTGGCTTAAAGGGTGTCTAAGCTTATTGCAAGTATGGGCATGTGAGAGACTTCATTTGAAGCCGAGACTATGCACGCATTTACAATTAGATGGACAAATTCCACTGGGATGCAGGTATTGTATTTTTTATGTAGCGAATATAATTGTAGTTATCATTGTGGTACTAAATGTATGACAAACATTTTTTTGTAGATGGAATGTCGAAAAATGCTATGACGAGACCCCGGCTAGACAATTGGATTTCTACCGGAATGAGCTTGACCGTATGAATATTTTTCAGGTAATTCTCACCGAAAAACATGCGCTTTTTCTTCTACATACTGAAAACCCAATTCTGATATGCAACTGCATTAAATTATTGTAGATGGAATGGGAGCCCTACACCCAATTTCTACCTCAGCTACCCCCAATATGCACAGAATACCAAGTTGTATGGAGAGCTAGAGTTCCTCTTATATGTTTGGAGATAATAGAAATGCATGTACCGGACCGCGTGCTTCGATAATATGGTCGTGCACAACATGTTCCGCAGATTGTTGAAAAGATAGAGAGGAAGGCAAAGAAAGGAGGCCAACAAATAAACTGGATGATCATGCATCAAGCTTTTATACACAGATGGAATGATAGGCATTTTTGTATTGTCAACCAAATTGAACCAACTCCTCGGGAATCAGATTACTACACTTGGTATTGGGACATAACCCGAAGATGGATACTTCATTCGACCACAATACCGGTTGAGTCGCAAAGAGGATATGTGCCCCGGGGTATAGATGAGAGAGAATTAGTAAGTATTTTCATATTTTGATTTAAGTCCATTTTTATTGGTACTTTATGTGTTGAAAAATTTGCAGGTATCAGCAATAGATGAAGTTCAAACTCTTGCAAATCGTGGCTTGGAATTGGCTCGAGCAGGTACGATAAAATTAAATCTCAAATTTACATTCTGTAATATCAAATTTAATATGAAATTTTGTTTTTGAACTATCTATCGCAGGTAGAAATCCCGAAACACATGAACATGTATCAATATATCAGGCTATAATGCAGAGGCTTCAACAAGCCTTACACCGAACTCACGAAGATCGTCATGATGGACGGGAGGTAAGGTCATTCGTATATACACGACAACAGCGACAAAGTCGAGGACGACGCAGAAATAACGATGAAGCTGGACCTTCCCAACGTGTCGACGATGGAGCTGGACCGTCACAACCACAAACGCAACCGGATCACGAACTCGTCGAAGGGCGGTATGGAGGACGACGAAGACAAAGGAGGAGGAGGAGAGTTCTTGGATGTATGTAAACTACAGGTTATATACATTACAAAACTATTTAGGGATGTGATTTTTGGATTTGTAGTCGATAATATCGTGTGATATGTTTGATTTCTAAGTGGGTTTGTGGTGTTATTATGTTGGATTTGTTAGTGGGAGTTTGTGGTGTTATTATGTTGGATTTGTTAGTGGGAGTTTGTGGTGTGATGTGATTTGTTTGATTTGAAATGAGTATGTGGTGAAATCAGTATGTAATTTGTTAGTGGGAGTTTGTGTGGATGTATGTAACGGGAGCTGCTGAACACCAAGTGCACGGGACTAGCAGTCCCGTGCACTTCGCAAAAGACCCTCCGCTGCAAAACCGACCCTTTTCTTCTGAAAAGGGTCGGTTTTGCTAATATTTATCAGTTTAGGTCGATTTTGCCTATTAATTTTTAAAAATGGTTGGTTTTAAAAATTTCTCCAATTTATAATTTTTATGGGGCTATAACCTACGGTTTTTGTCATTCTTGGTCATTTCTACTAAATATGTATACATAGTTTAAAATTTATTAATATCATGAGCTATAACCCATGATTTTTGCCTTTTTGTAGGTGTTGACTAAATGAAAATTAAATATGAATATATTGAAAATTGAGGATTTTGTGTGCTATAAACTATGATTTTGTTATTTTTTGTTCACTTCTAACAAGTGGCAATTAACTATGTGTAATTTAAAGTTCAAAATTTTTATGGGGCTATAACTCATGATTTTATCAATTTTTTTTGTTTGTTTCAATTGAATAAAAAAATGTGTGTACACTAAGATTTGTGATTTTCATGATCTATATCTCAAGATCTTTAGTCATTTTTTGGTCATTTCTACCAAATCAAAATTATGTACACATTATTTAAAAATTATAATTTTTTATAAGCTATAACTCATGAATTTTACTCTTTCTGTTCGTTTTGATCGAATGGCAACTAAATATGTTTACACTAAAATTTAAAATTTTCATGGACTATAACATATACGTTTTTCTCAATTTCTAGTCATTTCTATCAAATGACATTATGTAAACATATTTAAAAATTCATGATTTCAATGATCTATATAACCTATGATATTTGCATTGTTTTTTCATCTCGTAAAAATTAAGTACATCTACATCAATATTTACGATCTCCATGGGTTATTACTCATGATTTTTTTCTCAACTAGATTTTATACAAGGGCAACACACATGGTTAAATACCATAATTAAATATTTGACTTATTTCCTAACTAAAATTTGTTCCTCGGGTCCACTTTAATAGTTTTTGCTCACTTTTATCTCTAAACTTTAATATTGCGATTATTTATTTTCTTTGACGTTTGTTTGAATGAGTTACAGCCACGCTGATAATTGAATTGCCAAGAAACAGATATAATTTGAAGTCAATTTGAATTTTTATATTATTTGGACCTACATGAAACAAAGCTTTACTGGAGAAATATACCGTTGCATAAATGAAAAGCATTGAAACAGTATTATGCAAAGAAGCTAAATATTTAAAATCAATAAGGCAAAAGGATTGATTAATGCTAACTCTAATGTGCTTTTATATGATACAAAAGATTAATATTCGGAAGTTTATTAATATTAAAAGTATACTAAAATGATACAAAAGATAATATGAAGTTTATTCCTAATTATTGATGAACATCATAAAAAATTATAAATAAAGATTAATGCTAACTCTAATGTACTTTTATATGATAAGAGCATCCATATAAGCATATAAAAGTACCGAAAAAAGTTTATATAAAAATCTCTTTTAAAGATTCCTAATTTCACTCGAATCAATTAAATTATTCTATAAAATATTCAGAAGACATGTCCTTTTACTCCTTACATTTTGAGATCAATCATTCTTCACCTTTATTTTTTTCCTAGGTAACTCTAGAGAAGTATCTTCATCATCAACATCGATTGTGACATCAGCCTGGAGTTAGATTTTTATGTTGTTATCTTTCTTGGGCTCGTTAAATCTTTTATCTTCTCGTTTAACTTCACAAAGAAAGTGAATGTTTTTCTCATGTTCAACACAAACTTTTTGAAATAAAGACTTTTATTTTATTCCTATTTAAATGAGAATAAATGTTAATTTTTGTGTTCCGAAGTTATTACTTAAATAACATTAGGAGCTACATCTTTTCTCTCTATAATGAATTCTTCTCATGTACATTTAATATTTAATTGCCAATTTCCACAAGGATCTAAACTAAATATCTATATTTTTCATTGCCAATTTGACTTAGATTATAATATTAATATTTAATTTCTTTAGTATTTGAAGAACGAAATATGAAATTTATGAATACTCATTAATTTTTTGCATATCTTCCATGGAGAATTCTTCTTTAATTGGGACAAAGTTGTTAAATTATCATTCAGTGGAGCTCAGTCATTGCTTCTTTGATAGATATGACTTATGTCAATGTTAATTTAAGTTATTCATGGACGTTTTCCAAATTTTAAAATTTACTTCCTTCACTTTCCCATTTGAAATGGAAATATCTTGATTCTTTCAAAGGATATCTCTAAATATTTTGATAATTTTTAAGCTATCATATATTTTTTAAATTTTTTATTCCTTAACCGGATGTTTGTAATCAATTCCTATTGCTTTTTTTACTAGCATCAACGTAGACTATTTTAGATGTTGAAAGATAGTAACGCTTAATTATGTATATTATATATATACTATATATATATATAGTATATATTATACTATATGAGTGAATAGAAAGTTTGTGACATACATATACTCTTGTCCACACTTAAGTTGAACATTAAAGTTCACGCTCTCTCTCTCCTCTTCTGCATCTATATATATATATTATAGAGCAAAACTTCTGTCAACTTAAGTGGATCGTCCACTAAAGTTTCTAGTCCTTGATGATCACGTTGATTGAGGCTACAAGTTGTGGATGATACCGCTCCGTTAACTTGACCTACACTATCTAAAACCCCAACACATCAATATTTGGGGTGAACGCCGTTGTGGTTTCGACCCCATCCCGTCGATGCCCATGTACAATAGTTTCCTATCTGTCGAAACCGTTAAAATTAATACGGTGGATGAATGGCAACCACAACGGGTTCACGCCAAATTGATTGTGTTGGGGTTTTAGAAATGTTAGATGAAACTACAAGTTTTTTTAAAAATCGCGAGGGGGCGATCATCCCAATCGTAGTCTCATCAAGTGATTCATCAATGACTAAGAAAGACTTAGTGGAGCGTCCTAAGTTGACCAGGTAGTTTTTGCTCTAATATATACTATTATATATAATATACTATATATATAAATATATATATATATATTATATATATTAATATATATATTATACTATATAAATATATAATATATATATATATAATATTATATATATATAGTAATATATTATTATATATATAGTAATATATATTATATATATACGTATATATACATATGTATACATATACATATTATGTATATGTATTCATATTACATATTAATTATAATGTATATAACGACAATATTATGTATATGTATTAGTGTATATGTATACTACATTACATATTATAATAGTATATGTATACATAACATACATACATAGTATATATATATATATATATATTATATATATATATATAATATTTATATATATATATACTAATATATATGATATATATATAATATATATATAATAATATAGTATTATATATATATATATATATATATATATATATTATAATTATTATATATATATATATATATAATATATTATATATAATATATATATATATATATATATATAATAAATATAGTAGAAAGCTCCTAAAACTTAAGTGGTAGAATTACTTGCCATCAACTTTTTTATTCGTTAGATTTATTTTGAGATTTGTGCTGGCATGTGATGCAAATCAATGCACACATCTCAAAGATATCCTTCATATTTTACACAAATCTCAAAGCAAATATAACAGATAGAAAAGTTTGTGGAGAAATATCTCTATCCACTTAAGTTTATATGAGCTTTACTTACACACACACACATCTTAATGAAAGAATACTAAATAATTATCCTTTTCTTTGCCAATTTTTGAAATTTCAGCCTTTTTTGTGGTTTTGAATCTTGAGGGTGTGATTTGTAATTTTTAAAACTTTAGGAGTATTTTTTAAAAAAATTATTTTTAAGTTTGGTAGTTGTAACTTCCATGTTTCATGTAGTGGTGGTAAATTTTAAAAGTAAGTATATTTCTTGTAACTTTAAAATTTTGAGGGTGCTTTTTGCAATTATTATAACATTAGGTTGTTTTTTTAAAAATTTAGATTTAGCAGTCTGTCAATAGTTTCTAGATTTGATGTGTACTTGTTTTAAAATTTGACATTTTAGATTTTTTGTGATTTTTAACCTTTGGAGTTTATTTTTATTGCAATTTTTGTAACATTGAGGTTAATTCTGGTAAATTTTAAAATTTTAGGTGCTTGATGGTAATCCCTTGAATTCATATACGTTATTTATAAGTTTTAAATTTTTAAAATTTTAGGGTGTTTTTTTTCTAATTTGAACTTTTGAGAGTGTTTCTTTAATTTTTAGTACATTGAGGTTGTTAATTATAAATTTTACATTCTTTAGACGCTGCTCGTAGGCAAATAAAATTGCCTTTATCCCTAACAGAGAAATTTAAAAGTTCGCCTGCAAGAACATTACTAAAAATAGTAAAAAACAGACAAAAACGCTGATATCTCTCAAACCGGAGGGAATTTGGCGAAACGGATGGCGGCAAACCGAAATAGTCGATTTTCATATAATTCGTCTAATTCTGACTTACTGTTTGAAAGTTATGACTCATTCTTCGCAGCAAGTTATATTCCTCGACGTCTAAACTTCGCCTGCAAGACTAGGGTTCGCCTGAACCAAGAAAAATCTACTTGTTCGCTTGAACATTCAAGGCAAGTTTGCCTGATAGTGTGACTTCGCCTGAATCAAATAAGCAAAGCCAAGTTCACCTGAATACTTGACTTTGCGGACAAGGCCAAGTTCGCCTAAACATTGAGCTTCGTCTGAACGAAGTTAAGCTCGCATGGATGCTTAATTTACGAAGCTCGCCTGCATGAGCCAAGCTCACCTGAACGTTTGAAGCTCATCTGAATTGATTAAAGCTCTCCTAATAGCTTCGCCTACAAGGTTCGCCCACATACTCCAAGCTTGCCTGCATGAGCCAAGCTGTGACGCCCCTGGGTTCACACACGGCTACAGTCCGAGGT